AATTGGAAGACGTGCTCCAGGAGCACACCAAGAACCACCAATAGCATTTAACTGAAGAGCCACACAAGAACCAAAGCAAAACCCAGAGCCACTGAGCATGGGTGAATCCTCAGTGCCTGTCTTTTCTGTCTATAGGTCTGCTGCTATTGTAGCACTGCTTGCACTGTGCTGTTGGCTGACATAGACATTACCTAGTGCCTTGAGAAGAGATCAGACTATTGATATGATGGTGGATGCAAAGGTTGATTTTAAGTAATTTTTACAGAAGGAAAAGCACCAAAAGTATACTTGGTGTTTTCTGATACTCTGGCCTCCCAGTATGCTTTCTTGCAATTTAAATGTTTCACAATGTAAAGAAAGGGGAAATGAGAGGTACGTATGACAGAAATACTGTTTTTTCTTCTACAGCAAGGCACAGTTGTTCTAATTTTACCTAATGAATTTTTAAGACCAGCAAAGTTCTGCATCATCACCAAAAATGTTAATTACATTTGTATCCACAACTTCTGTCATTCAATGTACTGAAAGAAAGAATCTTATCAATATACCAGCATGTATTGTTTGAGTATTTTATCTTGTTTCATCACTGGTTTGAATGGGTGAAATTTAATTAGACATAAGCACTATATCTAATTGTTAGAGGCTGCTGAGCAGTTGCAGTTTGATTAGACTTGTGAAAGCTTATGACTTCCAAGGAAGAATGCCTACTGTTTGCTTTCAGCCTGAAAAGTGTTCAGAGTGATTTGGTTGCATGTAAAGAAGGGCAAGATGTAGTTCTTTTACTGTTGAGTCTGTGTTTAATAAGCAAAAAGAAGTTGAGATGGTTTTTAATTTCAGTTGAACTTGGCAAATGGTTTCAAACCAAAATAAAGTCACATAAAATTCACTTCAGCTTCTTAAAACAGATTAATCACAGTACTGTTTACTAAAGCAAGCAGGAAAGATATATGAAATGTCTTTGTGTCCAATTCACAGTTAAAGCAGTAAACTTACATACCTTCAGAGTGCTGTTGCCACATAGCTATAGTTATTCTGACACTCCAACCTAATGAATATTCAAAGTATTTACCTGGAGCTGAATAATTTTAGGATACATTTTTTAAAAATTCCCTCAGCATGCTCATTAGGGCAAATTCAAATGAGAGATCAGTTTCAGAGTTCCTTCATGACCAAAGAGAAGGTTTGGTACATGGTTTGGTGAAAGATGAATGTTCAGGTCTTGCGCACTGCTCCCTCCTGGCCTTATTTTTGCTTAAATCTCATTGGTCTGCTTACATAAATCAACATTCTTATGTCCACACCTCCTCTTCTTTTATCCTAAAACATGCTAAATGTGATTCAAATTGTAATATTTGAGTTTGGTTTTGAATTCACTATTTTATTTCATGCAGCTGTTTCAGAACTGCTAGGAAACAAGAACGTACATGAGGCAGTGTTCACCAGCAGTACCCACAGTCCCTCGGTATGCTGTACTTTCATGAGAATGAGATTTTACATGTGGTTTAAAAAAAACCAAAAAAACCAACCCCACCAAAAATCACCAAAACACAAAACACCCCCCCCCCCCAACAACATAATAACCCCCCAAACCAACAAACATACAAAACACCCAAACCAACCAAACAAAAACAGGCTACTCCCAACCTCCCCCCAAAAAATCCCCAAGCCCCCAAAACCATGAAAACCTGACAAAACCAAACCTCAAACATTGCTTTCCCCAAAACCCTAGGAAAAAGACAAAACACCCAAAAGCCTTCTTCATCTACTGTGTCCAAATTGGGTATGGAAGCTGGGTTATGAATTTCCAGCTGGTTGCTGCGTTTTGCTGACATCTGTATTCAGGCTCTGACCCGTATCAGTACTTGCTAGGTGTAGCATTAATATTTCTGGTACATATTCAGTACCCTTTTACCATTTCTAAATACAAATGCTTTAAAGGTTTCTTTCTTGATCTTTTCTTATGCAGTCATTTTAAGATTGCTATTTTGAACCCACTTCAGTTCAGTTAAATGCAAAATAAAGAACAGATTGCTGAGCAGTTGTTACTTTGAAGGTTGTATTTTTCACACACAGTAGTCACCTTGTTGAGTAGCTACGGTAAACCTACCATCGACAGGCAAATGAGAAGCCTGCTCTGCAGCACGGTGTGCGATACGTGTGCTGCCAGCACAGGAACTGACTGGCGAGCCAGCCGGTCAGCACTGCCGATGCCCGGCTGCTGCCTGCAGTATTTCAGCATAATTGCAGACGTCTTCAGAGGGGAGGAGTTACTGTAGACACGAGCTGAAGCAAGACGCCTCACAAACCAAAGTTCAAGGTGAGTTCCATACTAGACAGTAGCTGGTTTTAGAAATTTATTTTTTCTTTTTTGATTTTTTTTTTTTTTCCCTAGTGCAGAAAGCAATACTCTGTAAAAATCCTTGGAGCTTCTTATTGCACAGTCTGATATACTCATGCTCAGCATTTCTTCCTGTACTAAAGGCAAGTCTATAAAAAGGAATAAGGCTATATAATTTTCTATTAAAATATTGACAATAACAATGTATTTTAATGCTGGTGAAAATTAATATTTTAAAGGAAACTTTAAATGGAAATAGGCATTAATGATCACCCCTCTTAGTAGAAGGGAAGATCAGGCATTGCTTGGTGATGTTTTGGATGCATGTCATGATATCTGCACACTCTCCTCAACCTGCCTGCTGGATAGCACCAGGCGTCCCTGGCTGCTTGGACTTCAAAAAAAGCAGGTGAGGAGGAGCTGAGGGCGCTTGCCTGAACGTGTAGACTATGGGGACAAGGGAAGAGACAGTTCCTGCTTACCTGGGGAAGCCAATAGTGAGACAGTGGGGAAAGGGCATTGTTGTCTTTTTCCCACTGTGTACAAGGGCAAATATCTTGCACCAGCTTTATAAGGCAGTTTTCCAAGCAGAAGGGAGCAGGACAAGAAATCAGCATTCCCTAATACTTTGAGTTTTGTTGCTGTCTCTTGGCACTTCTGATCACTAGTGAAAGTGTTTTGTTTTTTGTGAAACCATTGCCATATTCTGGCTCTGGTGCCTGTAGAAAATAAGTGTTATTAGGCTCCAGAAAAGCAGCACCTATGTTGAGCCATATGGTATCTTTGCCCTATTGATCTACCTGGCTGACTATTACTATATGCTTTCTGGATGAAAATCTGTGGTTTGGTTCTGTGCTGTCTTGGGACAATGATGTCTTTGTCCATGGTTATGTTTCCTACAGGCTGCAGTAGTTTGCGTAATAGGCTTTAATTGCAGTGGTGTTTGTACATAAGCTTAGTGGGGATGGATCCCAGTGCTTTTGGAGAAGTTGTAATTATAGAATGCAACAGGAAAAAACTGATGGTTCTAGATGTATAAACTCCTTCACTCAAGCACTGCTTGCCCTGATCTGAATAGTCTCATTGATTTTAATGGATCCATGCTGCACCTTCTGATGATTTGCCCATCAATTTTTATAGGCTGTACAGCGTGGGATAGAGCAAGTGTATTTTATAGGTAGAGGGGATATATATACACAAATTCAGTTTGTTTATTTATTTATTTTTAATACCTGTGAATGTGTTACAGATGTCTGCCACGTTTGTACAGAGGAAGGTAATATATTTTAGTGCTCAGGCTCCTGATAGAGCAAATGTAGGCTGTGATCCCCTGGAGCCGCCTTCAAGGGCAGAGGCAGCAAGCTCTGTGACTTGGCAGAATTCCCCTTTGGGTGTTGCCATTCTGCCTTCTGAGGTCCTTAAATCTTAACTAGAAATAGCTGTATGCAATTCTTTAAAGGTTTGTCCTGATTTCTTCAGTAGTTTTTCCTGTGCAATTCTAAATAGCACCAAAGTATGGCTGCAGTTGTGTCTGGGTAAGTATGATTAAGTCTTCTGTTCTGGAAGGCCTTATTTGAGGTCACTTTTAATCACAGATGGAGCAGATTTTGACCAATATGTATTTATTAAAAAATAAAAAAAAAAGCCAAAAATTCAGATTAAAGAAATTATTAAACATAGTTTTACTTGTAAGGACATATGCCAATTGTCCTTACAAAAAGACTATTGCTTACAAATCCTGCGGAAATCTATTGATATAATCTACTAAAATTATTGCTTCAGAATAAAACTATAAGAATAAGGTAAGAGAAGACATTGCAAAAGATGTGGAAATCTGGGAAAGAAATGGAAAAATATAAAATGCACTTCAAGTTTTCTATCTATTAACTATTTACTGCAATTTTGTAAATAATGTCAGAAAATCAGTTTTTTGGGGGCAGAACAGCCTCAGGAAAATGTTTATTTCATGAGCAGAGGGATAATGAAACCTGGCTGCTGCAGAGAGGTGAACCTGCCTGTACCACCATGGCTCTTTCCTGGAAGCCTATTCCATGGTGCCAGCAGTTCCCAGCACAGCCAGGCTGTTCCATCCCACAGACTTCAGTGGCTGCAGGAAAGGACTGGGGCTGGTCCCATGTTACAGAGTACAGCATAGGCATGCTGCCTTGGCACCTCTGTGACTCTCCATATCAACAAGTGAGCTACTTGGACTTCTCAAAAAGCCTTTAAAATGTTTGAAGTATCTTCTTTCAGCACATTTTATTTTTAGAATTTTTTGTCTGTTTTAGGCACCTTTCTTGATGTTCTGCACTTGCTTTATGCCTTGACCAAATTATTGGGATTTTTTTTTTCTTTGGTTTAGTTACTGGGATATGTTTTCCCTTTGGTATTCTGGGAGGTAAAATAAATCTTTATTCCCTTCTAAGGTAGATAAATACTGTCTTGCCTGAGTTTTTATCTGTCATTTTCATAATTAGGTTTACTATATTTACTGGTGTTTGCTCTCCAGGTTAGATCCTCTGCTCCAAAGAAGCACGTCTTTGACAGGGAGAAAGGAAGCAAAAATTTTTAGTCATTCTTAATCTTTATTTCCATTGATGTCAAATTTCTTCCCAGTCCAGAAAGGGTTGTTTAGTGCTCATTTTACACAACCATTTTGTCTGTGGGCTACTCTCCCTTCACTGGAGTTTCCAGGGGTGAGTGCACAAGGACTTCCCAAGCAGGCAATGATAAACTCCTCAGAATTTTCACATAGCTAAATTTTTTAAACGCGTTCTGTAGGTAGACCTGAGGCCCTTGCATTTGTGAATACAGTCAGTAAAAATCAGCTGCCATATCTTTTTTATATTTTTTCGGGGGGGGGGGGGGGAGGGTTTTCCTGTATTCTTCCTTCAGAGAATCCTCATCAGCATCTTCTTGAACAACAGACTCTGGAGTTAAATCTGCTCAGACATGCTCCTAGAGACCGTTTCAAACCAGTAGGACTTGTACTAGTGGGGAGAACAGAAAATGGTTCCCAACACCTCAGTCTGCTCTGCTGGGCTCTGTGCATAGTCTCTGCCATTTTTGCAGCCATGCTTCTTATCTGTCTGCAGATCGCATGTGTGTGAGGATCTCCATGGTGACTTGGGCACTTGAGGCAGAAATATGAGCTGGTAAGTCAAGGTTATCCTCCCTCCTCCTCTTCCTTTCCTCCCAGTTCAGTATGAGTTATTACATGTGTTACGTTTTGGTATGGATGGTGCTTGCCTGGAGCAAAGCACAGCGAGTCTGTTTTAATTCTCCAAATCCAGTTTAAACCCCTCACACAGATGCATGGGGTGGGTGTGTGCAGGGGGTGGGTTATAGAACCATTTTCTGGGTCTGTATGCAGCCATGACACCCCTCGTAGGGGAGGCTTATGCTGCATAGGTGGAATACAGTGATATATCCAAGGTAGATTTTCTTTCTTTGTGCATTGGAAGAGTTGACTGGGGGCTAGCAGTAGGGAAATACAGGTAATTAGCTCCTCTGTCTTTACTGGATACCCTGAAGAAATGGAAACATAAATATTGAATTATAAAGACAGAATTTGTGTAGTCTCAGAATATGTACATATGTTAAAAAGCAGAATTTTAGGTCAAATGTGTTCAGTTAGCCAGTAGGTACATTGAAGTTGTGCCTTTTCGTATTCACAAAACACTTTTTCCATTGGTGCAAACAACTTGAAATGAATAGTGTTTTTCTTGTTTGTTAGCATCATCTCCCCCTGTTGTCCATCGACATAAAATGCAGTGTTCTGGAACATGAGAAAGGCAATACATTTCCTCCAGTTCTTTGTAAGCTGATATGAAGCAGACAGACACCTTCTGAAGTTTTGTGCATGCTGTGCTCTTTTTTTCTTTGCTGCAACAAGAAAAGCCTTTTCTTTTAACCTGGCTTCCTTTGAAGAAGTAACTCAGGAAGCTTCATGGCCTCTCAAGGTAAGTGCATCTATAGTCTGTATTTTTAGATCATGTTTACAGAAAACTACAGTCTTGTACGTTTCCAGCAATCAGCAGTCTGATGAAATGAGTTTCAGGCTAAAACCACATCAGCCAAAGCACAATTGTTTTGGCTTCCTTTAATTTTTTTTTAGAATTCAGGAGGCTCCTAAGGAGACTAAAATCTATACGAGAATTTATTTGAATAAAATGTTATAAAATGTTAACATCTCCGTTCAATCAAAAATATAGCATTTGTCTTTTTTTTCTTAAAGTTGTTGGTTCAGAATGCTTGGGAAGGGCAGGTATTGAGCTAAAGGTACCACTGTTTTTGCACACTTCTTTCTTATTCCACTTCAAAAATACCAAATCAGCAAATGCTTTTCACTTTCAGAACTGGCCAGAGTCCTGATAACCATGTAGGGAAAAAACAAATATCTGAAGAATAACTGAATTTAATCAGATTACTCCTATCTGGGTTCATCTTTGTCACACACTGTGTTCTAGCTGCAGCTGGGTGGGTACTCAGGGCTATTGGCCAACCTTGCAGCATGCTGATCTAACCAGCCTTCTAAATTTATTTTCTCCATGCTTTCAAATACTTAAACTAAGCAGAAGGATACAAATCTATTTTTTCTCAACATGAATACAACTCCACAGAGGTCACCCTGCTGTGATGTACAGAGGCAGATATTGGCCTAGGGACTTTCAGCAATGTCTATTTAAGTTTGTCAAATGTTTACCCCTCTTTGCCCCCAAAATACTGACAACATTCTGCATTTACAACATTAAAAGGTATTCAGCAGCAAGCAGGTTTTATGGCATTGTTGTACTCTTGCAAAATACTGGGGGTTTTATATACACTTTGCGTACCTTTAGCCATATAAGAGATCTGGGTTTGTATATTTTTAATGCAAAGTAGTTAACATAAGTATGAAAATAGTAATGTTGTGTAATATGGTTTTAAAAATGAAGGAATTTGATAATATACTTCTTTTAGGAACAAGTAACGCTATGAATTATGTTTGTACAGAAAGCTCACTGTATTGTATGCTAACTTTTAAGTTTTCCCATACCATAAATGAAATGGGAAACATCCACGAAAATAGACAAAGTGTCAGACTGTCATGAATATTTAATGTATTTACTATTTGATTTTTGTATAGCTTAAAATTTGACAGGTAGAACTGCAATTTGTTGTCTTCCTTTTCCTCTTTATCATTCGAGAATAACACTAACACTCGGCCACTTCGTGGCATTTCATGTAACAACAAGAATTACGGCAGTAACAGAACCCTGTGAGGTAAAATGATGCAGAAGAGCCTATAAAATATTTATTACCCACTTATACATTTTTAAAAGCCAGCTACAAATTCAAAGAGGTTACTTTTTCTTCCTGTGGTCTCAGACTTTGAAAGAAAGCAGTAGCTGCAAAGACAAATTAAGATCAAAATATGATTAAATGATGAATCAGCCACAGTGAGTTCAAATAATGCTAAAGGATCTCATTTAAACCCACAACAGCAAAAGAGAGCTTCAGACTTAGAGCCAAAATTCATTCTGGACCTCAAATCCCATCATGCCTATGTATTGTCACACATGAGATAAAAATGATCAGTTTGGGTACTGCTTTACTGCTGAAGCACAGAGGCTCAGCTTACTATTAGAAGGATTTGCCATTTTCTATGCAGAGAGCTTCAGTTTGCTCTTGCTTGTTCTGGCAGAGCCAGTCTTAGTGAAGGCTGTGGAAAGATGCTTGGAGTAAAACCTACTGGTTTTGCTGAGTTTGCTGAGAATCAAATGGCTAAGGTTATCACTGTCTACTCAGAGACTGTGCCTGTGCATATGAAGGGGTGCAGGCATTCAGGTGCCTGTAACAGTAAATACTCTCATTACCTTCGCAGCACTAGCCAAGGTAACCATCACTGTCCTAAAGGATGAGTTTGCAATAGCAAACCAGAAAACACAGCTTAATGATATCTGATCTTCTCATTAAGATAATAATGAATAATACACTGTAAGAGGCTGTTTAGACTTTGATACCAGAGTTGTAACATCTAGCTTAGGGTATCTGAGATCTCTGGAAAGATTATCTCTAATCAAGAGAAAATATGCATACCCTCAAGATGCTAGAAAGCATCTTGCTAGAAGCAAGCCTTCAGCAGCTTGGTATACATTAACGTGCAGGGCAGCTCATGGGGCGCAGGGCTCAGCAACCTGTGCTGAGGAGCTTATGGCCATCCCGTGTGTGTGAATCCAGACCAGCTCCATCCAGCTTTGTCACAGAGACTCAGTGCTTGCAACCTGTCAGAGTGGATTAGCTACCATCCAAGACCATACATATCTCCTGGTTAGCTTCATCTACAGCAATTCCACTTTCCATACTCTTAAGATTTCTTTATAAATTGAATCAGAGTGCTGTAAGTGTGGGACCATCAGAAGATTTGTTTCAGATCCTCACTCCTGATCTGAATCAAAATGCTGATATAGTCACAGGCAGAATATGATATTTTTCCAGTTTTGATCTGAACAGCTAGCTGCTGTTTGATCCTGTTACTTTCTGATTGTAATTATTATTTTTCTTCTTTCCCTGCAGAATATCGGGGACAAACCAACCCAGTTTTTAAGGATCACCTCCCTGGTTCTTCTGACCTTTCTGGACAGAATAAACCTGTTGAACCAACAAGCCTCTGGAAGCAAACATCACACCCTTATAACTTGCCACCTGGTCTGGAGTACCTGAACCAGGTCCTGAATCTTTCCAAATGTTAGAATTGTCTTGGGGGTTTTGCTTGTTTATTTTGTTTTTCCCAAGGGAGGGACAGGCAGAGATGGAAAGGTTTTTTTGTTGTTTGATATTACTATGAAATAAGGAGCCATAGGAGTGACAAGCTCTTCCTTCATTGTGGCTGTTCATTTGCACAGAAATCCATTTGTTGTGCATGCACCTCTTTTTGCACCAAAATCATGGTTTTCTTCCCTCTAGGACTTGTTCTAGATCATATTATTATACTGTTCAGTGTCCCCCCAGTTTTCTTCCAGCTGCTTAAGAGCTCATCCTCAGGGAAATGGCTATCAAACTCTGGCCTGCCTCAAAAAGATTAAAACAGGCAGCGTGTGAAGGAATTATCACCTCCTTGCAACCCATCCTTTGAGGAACATGAAGGTCTCATGAGCAAACTGCTGCCCACAACAGTGCTCTCCAGGTTGGATGTAAGGTCCTGGGGAGAAAAGTTCTCAAGGACACAACTTGTGAGCGTAAGTCTGGGCAGCTACAAACCTGCACCTGCATTGTGTTGGGTCATGGGGCAGGAAAGTGCTACTGCCCAAGAGAGGAAAATGCTTGGAAATGGAAGCAGACCAGTAGGTCACAGGCAGGGGAGGGAAAAGGAATGCTAAAGTCTTCTCTGTCCTGTTAAACATGAGCTGTCCATCTCGCTGTGTGAAAACTCTCAGTCCCTGGAGCTCAGACCTGCGATGGTCTGCAACTTTGTTCCAGAAGTTTCATCTCTTCCTACACTTTTTTACTGGGAGAGTCACTCCCTGCTACTGCCTTGACACTAAGTCCTGTTTGCATTTCAGGTGTGGCTGGATTCTGCTGCTCTTACATATGCTGAGCAATGGGTCATACACCCTGCCTGGTATGATCAGGAACAGAACTGGGCCTCAGGATAGTCAGGCTGTGATTCTGATACACACACTTCTACTGTGTTTGTATTTTGGTGGTGCTGGGAAATATTTATTTCTCTTGAGGTGTGTATTTTAGATATACAATTCTGGTAGTTTTGCGCAGAAACAGAAATTGAATACATCTTATATTTCGATCTAAGTTACCCAGATAGCTAATGAAACTGGGAGTCACTACAGGTATCATCTTTCATGTGGAGCTATGATTTTCATTTCATGGTGCCCATGCACAAAATATCAGTTGTCAATTACATGAGCATTTGATCACAGAGCGTGGGAGCGACATTTTTTAGACTGAGGAGTGATTTGCTCAGCTGTTCAAGGTGCATCAAAAATGGCCAATAACTTGCTTCTGTCTTGGCAGACAGATACTGTTCTTTCACTGTCACAGAAGTGACACTAAACAATTTCCTACAAAAAAAAAAAAAATTGACCAAACCTCAGTATTATCTTCTAGATCACAGCCATAGTTTGAGGAATTGTCCAGTGTCCATCACAAAAATGGAGGGAACCTTTTTCCGTAGCAGAAATATGCAGATCAGACCTTGGAGAACTTTCCAAGTAGCTTAACAGCATGTTGTGCCACCATTCAGGCTTAACTAGTTTTGTAAATGCTTCTTGGTTTAGACTTGGTTAGACTGATCAGATGTAAATTTAATTTCCACAAAACAGAATACTAAGAATTAGCTGTGTATAAGGAATTTTAACATATCTGAACTCAAGAGGGCTCAGATCCTTGTAAAAAAAAAAGGGCTTTACATCTTTCAAATGCAAGTGCAGAATTCAGTTGATCCACAAGTGTCCCAATAAAAGGTGCTTCAGAATAGCTGTCTTGCCCAAACCAGGGAAGGCAAAACAAGCCTAACAAGTGTTACTGCCGTGTTGTCTCAACATTTTTTATACATTGCTCACAATAAACCAATAAACAGATCAAAATCACTCAAAGCTTTTAACTGTTCAGTCTCTGTCATTTTGTTTTCCTTGTGAAAGTCTATGTGGGGCAAAGAAATCCATACTAAAATCAAAACTAAAATGCTGAAGCAGCTCTACCATCTTTAACGTTTTTATTCTTTTTATATCATCAGAGCACTTCCCATGAGTTCCAAGAGTTCACATCTCTCATAAAACCTAAACAACAAACAGCAGAGATCCTTGGGAGAAAATTTTTAAGTCCAAATATTTTTTATTATTTCAATTACTGGCATGCACATTTCAGAGATTAATGAAAGGGATAAAGAAGTTTCTCTTGTACCAGCTTTTCTTTGCAGCCTGAAGTAGCTGCAGGAGATGACTAGAACTGACAAATGGCTGCAACAGTTTGAATACGTACCAGGCAAGGTTTATCAATTGTAAAATATACAGACGCTGGAGAGCAGTGACATGCTGGTCTCAGAAGGTCGCTGTGTGCTTTCTGTTTGCAGCTGTGAGTAACAGCAAAATCCTGTGCCACGTGTTTGCCCATCAGGAATTTAAGGACTAAAAGATTAGCAAAGCCTAAACTATCGCATAAAACAGGCATAAAAAGTCACATAAAACTGAAAGGTAGACTGAAATTAAGTCTTGCTGATTTTATAATGCTAATGACTGTTCTCTAAAGAAGAGTAACGTCGGAGGGATTGTAAGCACAGCAAAGCAAGGGTATTGTGGCAGTTATTCTCCTGCATTTGTAACCAGCTCACAGGGGAAGACAGTTTCAGTAAGCTGAGGGTTTCTCTGGGGAGTGTTGTTTTGCCCATTCTGGCACCCTAATGTGACTGCTTGCCAGATTTAGGGTGCAGAACTACCAGTGCCTGAGATCAGAGTGTTAAAGATTGTGTGTGCCTTTGCTGGCATCACCTAATTGCCTTGATAGGCTGCTCTAGCAAGGCCCTTTGAATGTGGCTGCAGCATGTTTTCAGCTTGAGTCTAAACTAATTCACTCTTTCACTGCCATGGTGCCCCGCACTATCCTTAGCTTTGGGGTAAGGGGCCAAGAGCAGGAGGGATGCACAGGAGTCTGAAACGGGTCCTGCTTTTCACATGCATCTTTCCATTGCTGTTGCCTTCCTCATTCTCCCAGTGACAAATTGTAGAACCATAGAATGGCAGGTTGGAAGGGATCTCCGGTATCACCTGGTCCAGTGACTAGGTCAACCTCTCTTAGTTGATGTAGACTAATTGTCCCAGCTCCCTGTCAGCTGAATCTTAAAAGTTCCCAGTGTCAGGGAATCCACCACTTTCCAACAGTTAATTGTCCTCATTATGAAAAATCTTCCTTTTGTGTCTAATCAGAATTTCCACAGCAGTAACCTGTACCCCTTGTCTTTTCCATGTGACTCCTTGTTAAAAGGAAGTCTCCATCTTCTCTGTAACCACCCTTTAAATACTGGAACATGGTGATAAGGTCTCCCGTGAGCCTCAAAGCTTGTTTTTCTTCAAATATGTGTGTGAATTATATAACCACAACACCCAATGTCACACTCTTCAGTCATCATTTCAGAGATGTCTAAAGTGTGACTTGAGATAGACCTTGAGCACCCAACTTATGCACCTCTGGAAGGAAAGGGAACCTAGTAAAAGGGAGATAAGCAATAAAAATAGACAGGTGATGGTGATCACCAGTAGCCCCAGACCTTTCCAGCACCCACCATCTTGTTTATTTATTTGTATTTTTAACAGCTGGACCGGATAATTATTCATCAGCAAGTGGAGCTTCTTGAAGGTACGGTGACTTCAGTGAGGTGGGGGAAGGATTTGGAAGCCTTTTGGAGGCATCTGTTTTCTATTCCTCAGAATTTCAAAGTACTGAACAAGTATTAAGTTCTGAACTGAAAACATTTTAAAATGCATTTCTTCCTTCAAAGTGTTTTTGTCCTGATTTTTGGCTACCTCACTGGGTGAAAGTTTTGCTCGCTGAAGTGGGGCAGCCTCATATTTTACTTTTCACAGATGATAAAGTAAGGAAAAGCTCAAACTGAAACTCAACTGAATTCTGTTCTGTGATAATGCGATTTAGTGTACAGCAAATCAAAATCTTTGAACTAAATGTTCCTTCAAAATACAGACCTGTTATTATTATTTCCTTATAATTGCATTTTTCCTTTGTGTCATTACTTCAAAACAATTATTACACTTTGTTCCATAGATTTTTAGAATATATTCTAATATATATGCTAATATTATATTGAGGCAATTTTCTACTTATTTTGCTTCATTAGCCATAGTTGGCACAGAGACCTCCAGCAAATACGAGATAAAAAACCATTTGGGACAAAGAGTTTACTTTGCAGTAGAAGAAAATGATTGCTTTGATCGTAATCTGTGTTCGCCTATAAGGTCTTTCACCATAAGGATTGCTGATAACATGGGCCAAGAAGTGATTACAGTGAACAGACCCTTGAGATGCAACAGCTGCTGGTTCCCCTGTTTCCTGCAAGAGGTGAGTGAATCCTAACTGCCCTTTGTCCAAGCTTCTCGTTGTATGTGCACAGCATTAATAAAGCCTTGTGCAACCCCTGTGAGGATGGCAGGAAGAGATTTACACCCACATCTCAGCCTGGAGGGGACTGCATGGAGGCCTTTGCTTAGAAGTAACTATTGATAAATGGAGCGCTTTTGTGAGTTATATTCCCAGCATGCCTCCCCTCTTTCATGGGTCTTTACTTTCCCTGACATCCCAAGCTTTTGTGTCTGATGATACAGTTATCCCTCCAGTCAGCTAACACCCCAAAACACTGCTTGCCCCGACACATACTAATATCAGTGCTACAGATGGAAATCACCCACTATACTCCCCAAGTGTGAAGGATAGACAATCCCTGGAAACCATTAGTATGTGTGGGTATGACTGGGAAGCACCCCTCTGAATCAGCTGATGCTTCACTCCATGGCTCTTTCTCCTCAAGGCCATATATCTCTTGAAAATAAGCTGCTTTTAGAGAAAACCACAGATTCTGTAACATACCAGGTCTTTTATTGTTTCAGACTCTCTCTTATTCAGACATTTTTCTTGTTTTATGAAAATGCTTTAAGAGTTGACTCATCTACCTACATTCTCAGTACTGCATCGATCCTTTTTAAAAGAGGTCCTTTGGTAGCACAGCTACTGTATAAAAAAAGTTTATAAGGATACCTACTCATTGATTATAATGACAAAATTTTTTAACAATATATAGTTTTTTATACGTAAGCTATTAGCTTCTGGTGTAGCTTTTGACTTTCATATTGTCCAATATATTTAAACCCACCATCAGATAGCCTTGTAATATCAAGTTGACAGTTTGGTAAAGTTATATATTTTTTTCATTATATAAACAATACACTTTTAAAATATACTACTATAAAGTTACTTTAGAAGATCTTTGTTTTCTCTTTTTTTTGCTAGTTAGAAGTTCAGTCCCCACCAGGTACAATAGCTGGATATGTTGTACAGAACTGGGACCCTTTTCTGCCAAAGTTTACTATACAGAATGAAAGTAAAGAAGATGTACTAAAAATAATTGGCCCATATGCAACATGTGGCTGTTTTGAAGATGTTGACTTCGAGGTATGTTTCTTGTGAGAGTTAAGAATTTAAGGTTTTACTACATTGAATAAATTTCTTACTCAAAAATCCGTGATTCTACCCTTAAAAATATGTTGCTATAATTATGGAACAGAACTACAACAAAATGCATTGGAGTTCCTGACTTGTACACTCAGATTTCTACAGATGTTTTCTGGACAGGAGTGACTGTCCCTTCAAGGAAACAAACAAGTTGCTAGGTGAAGTCCTGATATTCTATAGTCCTTGAGCACTCAGCCATTGCTTTTTATAAACTCAGGGTTTTATCCCACATGGATTCACTGTTACCTGAAACAGTCCCTTGAATCCTGTGGCATTGAATCTGCTGCTGTCATCACTTTTAGACTGAGAACCACAGGGAGGACTACTGTCCAATATGTCTAAATTCAGTTGACAACATTTATCAGGAGAAAAATAATTCTGAGGAGCCATTGAGGTATGTAATGGATGACAGGGAGAATGGGAGATAATCAAAGAAACCCTGCACAGAGTTTTCTGATGTGAACAAAGTGCTTTTCCTTAATTAAGGAATCATAAAAGAGCTTCTTCATTGATCAACTTGTTAGCCAAATAAGTAGACTTCACTGGGTACTGACTGAAAGTCCCAATATACTGTGAGAAACATGCAGATAGCTACATAATTGAAAACTTACCTGTCAGTTGTAAGGGAAAGTGGTCCACAGCATTGGTACTGCTATGATTTGGAGCATATCAGAAACGCAATGTAGAAAACAAAATCATTGGGAAAGAAGAGCAAAAGTATGGTATAAATTTTTACATCTCATTTCCTCCACTTTCCTGTCAGCTCTAAAGATGCTGATGTTTCCAAACTTGAGACCCTTTCTTGTGTGCCACTCCTAAAGGAAAATCTGACACTAATAGAGCATCTCAATGATAAGAATAAAAGAACAACCTGACAACTATAGCATACTCTGTGTGTCAGGGCACAGTCATTAATTGTGGGGAGATATTGGTGTGTACTAGATTTATTTACAGTTAAGTGTATTCCTGTTTTTATTGGTGCAGGTAAAAACTCTCAATGAGATGTCAACGATTGGCAAAATTTCCAAGTACTGGTCTGGATTTGTAAACAATGTCTTTACCAACACCGCCAACTTTGGGATCCAGGTCCCTGTAGATCTTGATGTGCGAATCAAGGCAATACTGATTGGTGCTTGTTTCCTCATTGTAAGTATGCAAAATAAAGTGGTAGACCCAATAGGGCCTCTGCTATCAGTTGTGAACCTACAAAGCTGTAAGTGTGGAAGGCCAAACCTGCTATCTAAAAGAATAACTGTTAAGTTAATCAGTTAACTGAACTTAAGTGAAAACCTTTTAGTTTTTATGTCTGCTTTTTTTTTCTTAATTGCTGAGAATCTTTAGGTTCCTAAATGTTTTATTAAACTGTTTAAATAGTATTCCATGTATAGTTCAATATCTCACATGTCAGGATCAAATATCAATGTAAATGTCAAACCTACTGAACTCCCCAAAACCCCTTATCTGTTGTGGTATGGTAATAGTAATTTCAAACTGTGAGTGCCACTTAAACAATTCTATCAAGTATTACATATAAGACTTTCAGGTCATATGAAATTTCCTATGAAAAATTTCATTGTGAAGATAAAAAGAAGATAAGAGTTATATGAAAAAGTGAATACTCATTGCTAGGGGTAAGGATGAGGTTAAGATTCATGTGGGAACGAAATAGCCACAACTCAGAAATAGAAATGTAACTCTCATGATACTTAAGATTTTTGGATTGTGTCTTCCGAAACTTGTGTTGTTTAGTGGCAGAGTAATAGAAAATGATTGACTAATCTAATTACTTCATGTAACAAAAGCCTACAAGTAAGACTTTTGATAGCAGTTGTTGTATTTTTGTACCATACATATAATTCACAGTTTGTTTATTTATAGGACTTAATGTTCTTTGAAAACTCTTTGGATGGATTATAACAAGATGACAGAAACAATAAAATATGCAGAATGTGTTTCAGTAAGTAAAAATGAACATAAATTGAGCTTCTTGCTTTGAAGACTTATACATTAGATACTTTCTAATTCTTTTTCATTTTCTTCCAGAAATCGCTTGAGCTTTGGACATGATTTTGAACCTCACAAATCCTTGTTCCTTACAGGAAAAGATAGGGAGCTAATGATGATGTTTATTAAAATACGTCTCACGTAAATAATGATTTCCCTTTTACATTTTATATGTGTTGTAGCTAAACATATATTTTTCACACAGAGCACTTGCTTTGGAATTGTGCTATTCTTTTCTTTCTCTTTTGATGTTTCTGCATGGGAAATCATAAAAGATTAGATGAAGGCTTGCAGCATCACTGATGAAAGTCTATGTTTAGAGAAGCCTTTGATGTTTTGCAAGTGCTAGTACCAGTTACCAACCACACGAAAGCGGGTTCCGGGGGTTTTGTTTCTCCTAATTTTAGAAGCAATTTTCTGATTTGTTATTTAATTAATAGTAGCAAACTGAGTTGGAAAGTAACAAATAGACATCACCTAATGGGAAGCTTAAGATGTTATCTGTTGCAATGAGTTGAAAGAAGGGAAGCTATGTTTGCTATTAAATTAATTTTATGGCAAAGACTTGTTTGTTACAGCCAGGAATTAGGCCTCCAGCATTAGGCTTGGGAACATAAGTTCTATTCAGAAAATCTGGTCTTTCACTGTTTTTATTGAAGGCAGGCCATAAGGTTTGAGAGATGGTCCTCTATGTGCTAGAGGTGCACTTTGAACTATCCAGCATTGATTCTTGCTTCCATTGACTCAAGCCTTCCCTTAAAAGGTTTGTTCTCCTTTATAATATCTGGTGGTTAGAAACTTTTCATTCAGACTTGCCTGAGGCCACTCTAGAACAGAATTATTCTTTTCCTTTGGCAAGCTCAGGTATTTTCTATGATAGAAAGACTGTACAGTAAGAGCTTTTTCTGTTTCAGATGGCAGCTTTACATAGCTGTTCATTCCTGCAGTTACACCTCATTATACAATTCCCGAACATTCTCACCAACAGGCTTCTATTAATACAAACTTTCTTTGTAGAAGCATCCATGATATATATGAAAGTCATGAACAGAATAATTTTTGTTGTGAAATATTTTCTGTATGAACTTGCTTATCCTCTCCTAAAAACTCCAACGAGTCCTTCAAGAAGCAAATTAGTAGGATACAATATTGGTGGTAAAAAAAGAAATGCCGTTGTAGTCACTGGTCAAGTTTCCAAGGGAAGCATCTTATAAATCAGGGAATGCTGAATATTTCTTTTTATCATGAACTAGTAATTCAATTCTTGAAAACAACCAACACATCAACGGAAAGGAGAGGAGATAATGAATAATTCATAAAAATGAAAAAGAGCTAAATTTATCAGGTGATTAATTCTCAACAAATATTTAGACTAATTTTAAATTAATGTTCATGGATATGAATTCAAACACAGTGAAGTCAGGAAGTTGCAACTAATGTTCCCTTAGTGAAATTAACTCAGGATTGCTTATAGATTTAAACAGTATGTTTTAGATTATATACCACACTTAGGTATTTATACAGATTTACATATGTCTTCAAAATAATTGTGGTTAACAAGCTCTGACAATCATCATTATCTTTTAACCATTTTATTACTGACTCTTGCTGTGATTCTTAGCAGTGCAATCAGGCTGCAATCTGCAGAAGTTATGAACTCACAGGGAACCATTGCCATCACCTTTCCCAGGAGGAAGCAACTTGTGAGCTTTGTGGGCAGAGGCTCCCTCGTGTGGAAATTTATAGTTTTGCAGAAGAATACAGATGACTGATGCCAATTTGCTATTCTCACTAGTTTCACATTGGTGTAATTCTATAAAATTCAGTCCTTTCACTCCTGACTTACTCTAATGCAAATTGAGAAAAAGAGACAGATTTTAATATTAATCTTTCTCTTTGAATCCCTTTTCTATCTTAGGCAGAAGTGACTATTTTTGTAGCAAACATTCTTTAGTCTCATGCAAAAACATGTTCTTGCACTGTTATCGAGTTGTATGTATCTGAATGCACAGCTAAATGTAGTGCTTGGTGAGATCAGCGGGCTCCTTTGCTATCTGCCACTTCCTCTGCTATTTCCAGACTTCTTATGACCCTTAATAAGCTAAAGACCTCTTTGAAGCAGATGTGTGCAACTGCCACTGAAGTCAATACAAAATAGGGTCTTATTTACCTGTGGGGCTGAAATTTGGCTGAGTGTCCACATATGTACCTTGTAGGTAAGCAATGCATATAGATTTTATGTATTGTAACCAGATGATAGCATTATTTCTTGCACTTAGTGACATCATTGCTGGGTTTTGTGCTAGTACAACCTTTTTTTTTAAAGAAGCGTAATGCTTGCATGCCTGTATGAATATATTTGAATGCCTCTGCTGAATGAGAGGCAGCTTCTGGGACATACAGGAACAGGTTCAGTCCCCAAATAAAACAAAGCACTGGGGTTGGGATAGCTCTTGATGATTAGAACTTCCTCAGCAGCCTGTTTGACCTTGGTCCTACCCTTCAACATCCTGGTAGAAATTCTGTGCCAATGCCAGCGCTTTTTTGACTAGAAGCTCCTTCATCTAAATCACAGCTGCCATATGAGGGCAGGTATTCATCCTTGGCAAAGATGATGGAGTTCTCTGGGATATTACTAAAGAAAAGCTAACAAGTACTAAGGTTTTAAACACCTGCACCTCTAACTAGTCACTCTTTCTTATTAATAGCTTTCACATTATGGGAGCTATATGTGCTCTTTACAAATCCCAACTCTCTTGATTCCCCCATGGGCTAGGAGTGGCTCTCCAAAGGAGAATTCCGTATTTCCCAAAGGGGAACAGCTATTCTTTAAAACAGATTCATGGCTTGAACATCTTCTAGAAAGAAACATGATTGTTCCAATGAAAGAGAAATTTTACTTAATGCAGCCGAGTGAACAGTTTCATAGTTGATCACTAGCCAAATCTGTGTAGTATATAATTCTTGTGTTCAGTAGATGGCAGCAACAGTTCATTATTACAGTGGTTAGCTTTCCACATATCACTAGTTGCGCCCAGGCTGCTGATTAAAAATCAACACACCTTTAACCTCTAATTGATTTCTACCATTATCTGGAGGATTTTATTTTCGTTTCTATTCAATCTTTGTCACATGATGCTAGGTTATCTTTACTGCCTGCAATTTGCAGCTGAATTATTGGTGACTGGTATTTTATGAGCTCTGGCAGGTGCATGGGCAGAATCCACTCTACCACAAAGTGAGCTTTTCTGGTCAGCCCAAAGCCCAATTTTTGCACCTGGAACATCTCTCCAGCTTCCACCGGTGGACAGAGGAGAACTCCCAGGATGTTCCCCACCCTCTGCAGAAACAGGGCTGTGTCTAAAGAAGACTGCTTTGTGGTGGGGTCCCTAGGAGTGTGGAAGTCAAATTTGCCCCTTGTCATGTCATCACGGTCCATCACTATGCGCTGTCCTGGAGTATAGGCACGGAAACCCCCTCTAGTGTGCCACACTATGTGCACAAGTACGTGGGAAGGAGCTAGTTTGTCTGTGGGGAGATCAGCCGCTTTTAGTAAGAGTGTGGCAACACAATCTCTGTAAGTCTGATGTTATTTTGGTTTGTTGGGGTTTTTTTGTTCGTTTGTTTTTTGGTGTTTATTATTTTGTTTTGTTTTGGTTTGTTTTATCTGATAATGTGGTGGATGCAAAAGTACTGCTTTGTACACTTTATGTATATGGAAAACAATTTGTTTCAATTGGGTTATTCGATTTTAATTAAACAAACCTAGAATGATCCAAAATACACATTTTCTAATGGAGTTAAGTGGTACTTGTTTGGGAAAAAAATAAATATAATTTCTTCCTCCTCTCTTCTTAGTTTTATTGATTTCTTTTCAGTTAGAAGGGTATGTTCTATGTTAGAACAATACATACTAGTTTAATTCAAAGATAACTTCAGTTTTTTTAATATGCTTTTTTCTTCCCTAAATATGGCTCCCTTAAGGAGCAAAAAAAGACTCCAATTCCTTAGGGAAAATTAAATTATCCCATATCCTGTGAAATGAGAATTACCCCTCCTTCTCCCCTCTTCCCCCCACACCTGCCCCAGAATTCTATGTGCTTTCCTAAGAGGGATCAAATCGCTTCCTAAAAGCCAAATCAAAAAGTACTCTTTAGCATCTGCCATAAGACAACAGTTTTTTTCATGATTTGGCAGCACTTCACTACTTTAGTCCTCCATGTAAAATGAAGTTAACAAAACAATTTTTAAGAGACTAATGCCTACTTTTTCGAGTGAGACAGCCCTGGCCAGGTACAACTTTCTGCTTTCTTTCCAAATTTCCTAGTATTATATTTACAAAAGCACAGTAACCTTTTAGAAAACAAAGTCAGAAGGACAGAGACAGATGGGTGCCCAGCAACTGTGCCCTCAAGGTTCATTCATTCCTTTTTCCCAAATGACAGTGAATTCCTGCCACTGTGAAAAGGAGACCTGCAGGTAACCTTATATAGTTGTGCTATCTCCTAGATTGCCATTGAAAATTCATCTCAATTCACAATTAGGTCTTATTCTCCAGTCTCTCTTGTAAACAACAATGCAGAGACTTCTCACCAGTATTCTCACCTTCATTTTCTTCTGGCAAAGGAGTATAAACATAGTTATTACAGTATTGCTGTAAGAATCAGAGTCCTGACCTCATCTGCCTTGATACCCAGCAAACCTACTTGAAAACTACAGATTTCATATTAAACCTTCTGTGCTAAGGTACATAGGACTATTCAATCCAATGAACCTCAGGTCTCAGTGATTATTGAACAGGTATACAGCACATGTTGGTAGGCTCTGTTTCCAGTGTGGAGTCCCGGGGTTGGCTTCAAAGCTGTGTTAGCACTGTTACTCGCACAGCTGGTTTGCCCATCTTGGTTTTGAAATAAATTTACTGTATTGAATGGATTAAATCTATCCTCTCCACTTAATATATCCTCATTCACGAGGAATAAATGAAGCAATCTTGTATAGACCCAAGTTCAGTGCTTTTACAGGCTGCAAGTTCAGTTCTGTATATTTCTTATTGTGTGGGCTCTGCACAGAATAAGTCCTAAAATCTGGATATTGGAAAGCAGATAAGGATGGAGCCTGCTCAGATGCTTAAAGCTAAGTGAGCACTTTGTGTGCTTTTGTTTCTAAAGAAGCCAGCACCTCACAGAGTTAATCCTTGCATAACTATGCAATAAAAAATGCTGACAAGAACTCCTGAGCTCTCACATAAAATCTTAATTGGGAGTAAAGTCCCCTCTTACTTGAGTGACCTCAGTTCTGCTGCTCGCTTTTCCTTGTAAGGTAAGGATACTTCCTGGTAAAGTCTGACAAAATAGATTTAGTATGCAATGAAATAAAATTGTACTATGCAAAAATACAGGATAGGAGCGAGTGTGGAGAGCCATGAGGTAGCAACAGGAGAGCCTTGCAGCACCCCAGGGCTTGGACACCCTCTCCTCCGTTGCTTAAAGGGCAAGTGGCACTTTGGCTATGTGAAACTTCAAAATAGGGAAGCACACACCACATATTTTCTCTCCGGTCACAATGTGTCTAATAATGTTTTTATTCTGGCAGCTGGGTCACTATTGAAGGAAAAATCTTCCTGCAAGTGATTTCAACAGGACTCACTAGTTTGATGTATCTTTCCACTTAAGATATTAATTTGAGGAACTTCCTTTTGCTCTGTGCCAACCTTATCAGGTAAGTTTTTACATTACTGATATTTTGCATTCAAAAAACCCCAAACACAACAAAAACAAAACCACAAAACCCCCCATAGCTCTTATCGAGAAATACCTGTTTCTATCTAGAAATGACCATGGACTTCCCTACCACCAACACCCTGGTAAGCATATCCAGAGAAAGAAAATGCACAGTGCATGTGTGAAGGTCCAGTCTTGCTTTGTAAGTCTTTTTGTAGTCATTTATGGATTGCTTGCAGACGTTTGTGGAATTTTTGGACAATGCTAATGACTGTTTTAGTTTTCAATACACGTGTTTTTTCTAGACCCTTGAAGAATTATATTTTGCCATCAGGAATAATTTTGGGCAACTGTCATGATAATGCCCTTGTATACACTAAAAAGGACTGAAATAAGAAATTCAGCCTAGGATCAAAATAAGGTTCACTACTAGAAGTACCTTACATGCTTCACATCTTTCTACATGCCAAATTAAAGCTTTGAGTTAGTTTTTTTTTTTGTTGGGGTGGGGTGTTTTTTTGGATTATTTTTGTTTGGTTGGTTGGTTGTTTTTTTTTAATTCTTTCTGGGTTTCATGAAGGACCCAAAGTGTCAAAATAACATTTTATTTAAAAAAGAAATCCTATTTGCTTTGCCACGATGGCTATTATATAGGACAGTTTGTTGTGTGTATAGAGTAGGAATAAAATAGATTTTTTTAAAATATATTTTCTTACTTTAGCTTCTGTCTTATCTCTACTTACAAATAGCTGTAGATTAAGGCTCAGAACACCTGGGAACTAAGTAGGTGCCATAAGTGATGCTTTCTTTAGCCTCCAGCATTTTCCAGCACCAAGGCAGCAATGTTGCACTTGGAACAGCAAGTTTCCCTTGAAAATAAGACTAGGCTTAGACAAGTCCTTACAGTTTGCCACTCAAGGAATTTTCTTAAATATCAGTATTTAAATCATCTAGACATGCATTTTAAACTCCCTAGAGTTTGGAAAAGTTTTTATTTGTTTTCAGAAACAGAGCCTACCATATCAGAGCAGCATCACTCCAATGCTCTGAAACAAACAAGTTTAGTGGAGGCCAGGACAAGCATGCTACTACTTACGCTGACAAGTAAGTGAGTAAATTAATTCTGTAACAGGAACAGTTTTATCTCTGCCTTTATTGCTGCAGACTATCAAGGACCTGATATAAAATAGTGTCATCTAGTGCAAACTCACAGAAAAGTGAAACCCCAGAAAGAATTAGTAGCTTACGATGTATTTCATCTTCCTTGATACCGTGCTGTGGCTGTTGGACCAGCAAAGTCAATACAGTCCTGCAGTTTGTTTCATTTTCTAGTGGTGCCCAACAGAAAATTAAAGTCTTTTTCCGTTCAAAGATCTGCAAGATGTGTCATTATCAATGTCCTTCATTCTCCTGGATGCTCATCACTGTGATGCCAGACCAGTGCTCACGTTGTTACAAACACAACATGGAGTGGTACTGTGCTGGCCACTGAGGAAAGCTTGAATGGATGCATTTGTTTCTTGCTTTGATGAGTAATTGCAAGCATGAGAAAATAATGTGAACTATGAGCTAAGGCCAAGAGGCATACCAGGTGTATCTTGAGGAAAGGTTTTGATCTGTAAGAGAAAAGAAACACTGACTGCTATGCTGACAACAAATATGCCAGCAAGTGCGACATTGAAAGAAAACATGTAATCCGTAAAAACTCCTTTAAACTGAAACTGTTTGCTTTTAGCTGCAGCAGCTGGAACCAGTGGGATTAGGCATTTTGTCCTGATTTTTGGTGGTTTGGTTTGTTTTTTTTCAATCTCCTCCTATGGGTATATGCATGTGACCTCTATATGGACGCCAGTGCGGACACTGTTATCATAGACAGGTGGGGCCGGGGGAAGTGTGTGACCCAACTTCAGACTAACCTGATTGTATAAGCAATTTCTTGAAATTATTTATCTAATTATTTTTGGTCTTTTGCTCAGTCCTCTCTTGGCAGTACTGGGTTTGACACGTTTCAGAGAACAAACATGGTGTTTTAGTTGAACTATCACCACCCTGGGTAAGGCTGTTGGCACTGATATCAGGAGAAGATTGAATGATTGTGGAGCTTGGGAAGAGTCTGACCCACATGAGTCCCTGTAACCCACTGGGTAATTTAAGCTGAAGGAAAGACGAAGGGTGCCATGGGAACAAAACAACCAGGGGGCAGAAGAGGACAAGGAGAATAAAATGCTTCTATCAAAAGTAAGTAAATGCCTTCAACTAACTGTGAACTCTCATATGGTCTTTACAAATATGTGCTCATTGGAAAAAGGATAATGGATCTTCATTACAGAGCAAGCATCTGCTTGATGAAGTCATGGTTATCTAATACACTGCTGATCTGTTCATGCTATAACACTTTTATCTTGTACTTCAGAAATACTGATGATAGAAGGTGATTAAGAAGGAAAAAATGTCTTAAGAAAATCTGCAGAGAAGCAAATGCATCATGCAGCATTGATGTGCTTGGCATGATATATATTTATTAGTACAAAAGCATGTTAGCTTTCTTGGTGTACTGAAGGAGACAAGGAAGATGCATCATAGGAGAAGTAAAAAAAGAAAAACGTAACTTGTATAAACAGATCAGACTCCTGTCTTCTCCCCCACTGTCCTGGAAATTAAATTCTGTAAATAGCTTTGTTCGGTTTGTTGTTATGAAGCAACATCATCTTAACTGCAGTCTTGGTTAAGGTAGAAGGATTTAGAGCTTCAGCACTACAGTGAAGCATTAAAACCACAGGGCTTCATTCAAAGCCCAATGAAAGGAAGTTTAGCCTTCAGATCAGGTCATTAAAGGGTTCTTCTGTCAGGTGAGTCCAGAGTAATTAATTGTATGCAGCTCTACCAGGAAGTATTTTACATTACTAACTCAGAGAAAATAACTAGTAAATGGTGTAAAACATTTGTTTGACTTCTAAAGCTATAGAAAATAATGATTAATGCTGACACAGATCCACTTAAGTAGAAATCACATGCTTTGAAATTCTGGGAATGATCGTTGAAAAAGAGTCATATAGAAAATTGCAAATACC